GGTGGGGATCTTGTTTAATTCTTCTGCAGATAGTTTTCCAATTTTGCCAACACCATTTGTTAAAAAGGCTGTCATTTCCCCACCTAACTGATTTCATCTCCTTGTAAAAAATCAGTTGACCATAAATAGATGGGCTGATTTCCGGGTTCTCAATTCTATTCCATTGATCTATGTGTCTGTCATTGTACCAGTACCGTGCTGTCTTGACTACCACGGCAGTGTAGTAGGATTTTAAATCAGGGAGTGAGATGCCTCCTTTTTTCTATTTTTAAGGAGTCATGCTAGATATTAAGGAGCCTTCCTTGTTTCCTCTTTCTCCTTAGTATCCAGACCCTCAGCAAACCCTATTGTTTTGAGCCTGGAAAAAAAAATAAATCTAAACTCCATCTACTTATATTTAAAATCATTTTTTTGGGTCACCACTCTAGGATAAGCCACGACTATATTTCAACCAGGGAGTTCTGGGGGTCTAATGGATAAGGAGATGCACATGTGGTTCATATCCACAAAATATAACACTGCCACAACCTGACCACATCACCCTTTGCTTACACTTTAGTGTCTTGGCGTTGCTCTTGGGTGGAACTGCAGAGTCTCTGCTATGGCCATGGATGTGGCCTTATGCGCTGTTCTAGGAAGGTATTCACTGACTGTTACTTTGATTTTTCCATAACTGAAGAGTATGATAAATTCCATTAAATTATTGCTGTATAGTATGATTTGGTCAAAATTAGCTGTGTTACCATTTAACTCTATTTATTTTTCCATATTGAAACTTGCATTTCTCTGCCACAGGTAGTGCAGTGGCATCTGTAGCTGTAGACCCGAGTGGCCGACTCTTAGCCACAGGCCAAGAAGACTCCAGCTGCATGTTGTATGACATACGAGGAGGAAGAATGGTGCAGAGTTATCACCCACACTCGAGTGATGTTCGCTCTGTTCGATTTTCTCCTGGAGCTCATTATTTGCTAACAGGATCTTATGATATGAAAATAAAGGTCACAGATCTGCAAGGTAATTCAAGTGGTCTAGATTTGAGAAATGAGGGAAAAGGTATCAAAGATGATTATTTGGTTTCGACATAAACAACCTAATGATGCTATTGAGTTGAAGAAGAAAAGTGGGGTAGAAATGGGCTTAGACAAGAAAATCAGGTACTTGGTTTGGATATGTTAAATTTCAGATGGGTATCAGATTGCTTATTTTTCTCCTTTGGAGCTGCTGGTGGAGTCAGACCAGAAAGGCATGGCCTTTGGCCAGCAGTGCAACTCCGTACAGACTACATCACCAGAGCTGACCCCTGTTAAGATACAGCCTCACAATGTGATGGAGGGACAACATGAGTCGGAATTGACTTGATGACAGTGGCTTGGTTTAGGTTGGCTTGGCATTCATCATGAGCTCTGCTGGTGCAGTGGTTTAGCTCTTGACTGCTAACTGAAAGGTCAGCAGTTTGAACCACCCCATGCCTCAGCAGGAGAAAGCATGGTGATCTGTTCCCAAAAAGATTTACAGCTTAAGAAACCTGATGGGGCAGTTCTCCTCAGCCTTGTGGGAATCACTGAACTGAAACAGACTTGACGGCATATATAGCATCATCAGACTTTCAAATGAGATCACAAGTACCAATTTGGATACAAGTTAGGTGCTAAGTGAGTCTGTTCCTAGACTGGAGAGAAAATACGGGAAACATACACATAGAAATGGTCATGCACTCAGATGGATTTCCTACCGATTGAAAGAAGAAATCTGAAGCCTGACTCCCGGCATTCACCAAGCATTCTGACCAAAGTGAGGGAGAGGAGAAAAGTCATGAGAAACCAATTTAGGAGAGAGATTCAAGAAAAAGAAAGTGTTACTCTGTCAAATATTGCTGTGTATATGTTACACTAGCAACTTATTCAGTAATTTATCCCTTCTCAAATCATTCCTTATTTATATTACTATCATGTGGGGTTTTTATATTTCATATCTTAAAGTAACAAGAGAGTTGTAAACCTGTCCTTATTTTGTACTGTTTACCAACATCTCTTTGTTTTCTAATTTAGGGGATCTCACTAAACAGCTTCCTATCATGGTGGTAGGGGAGCACAAGGACAAAGTGATTCAGTGCAGATGGCATACCCGGGATCTTTCCTTCCTGTCGTCCTCTGCAGACAGAACTGTCACCCTCTGGACTTACAATGGATAGAGTACATCTGAAGTCAGTCTATGCAGTGCAAGCGCAGATACTTAAAGACTACTGAGTTGTCAAAATGACATATTTGAAGAACATAGACTGACCACTGATAAGTGGCTTAGCACGAGGAGGCCCCTTATTACCATGTATCCCGTTGATAGGAGGTGTTGGGTGGTGTTATTCTGCAGTGCTTCCGTGTGAGCTCGTGCTGCTGTGACCTGCTGTATGTAGTCTCGTTGCCAAAGTCTGCGGAAGAGCTCTTATGTTGTCAGTGTGCACTCCAAGTCATGGTGGACGATGTGTTTACACTTTAGTATTAAATGCATTCCTTGGTCTTTGCCTAAATAAGTTTTATATACATTGAAATGGAACTATACTTTAAGGATATTATTATATGTAATGCACCCAAGTTCTACACAAATTAAACATAGGAAATCACTTTTGCTCTTCTCACAATCCCGTACTATTGTATCACTTGTCAGTGAGAGGTGAGAATTTTTTCTCTTTCTCTCTCAAGACCTAAATGGATGTTTCCACTAAGGATCACTTAGAGTTTAAAGATGGATAGAAAACTGCTTCTTAGTTTACTATGTAGTATAGGCATTTTCTTTTGTTCTTAAACAAGAGACATGACTATTGGTTTGGTACGTCTTTTTTTTTTTCTTTCCTCCAGCTAAAAGGTAAGTGTTTGCTCCAGAGACTTGTTAATTTCAGTTTTTTTGAATGCAACAGGATACCTCCCTGTAGACTGTACTGTGGAAGCAGAGCAGCAGCAGTTATGTGATGCAACACTTGATGGTTCAGTAACGTACTGGCTAGCATTTTTCCTTCTTTAAAAAAAATGCCATAGACCATAGCATGCCTTAAAATGCTATGTCTGCATGATAATTTAAAATGGACAATTTAAACTTTGCACTCCAAAAGTTTACTTGGATTTTTTCCCCTTGCACTGTTTTTTGTAATGCAGAACAATGATTTATTGCTCAGCATTGTAGACCTTAACATTTATGTATCTTTATTTTCATATTGTACAGTAACTTTACTTTAAATTATTAAATAGGCTATTTATTTTAAATGCAGTTGAGTTGGTTCTAATTATTGAACTGTCTGTGCACTGTATGTAGCAATCATTTTTAACCTATTGTATACAAGTGGAAAGGGTATTAGAAGTGTAATTGTGCTATTATTTCAATAAAGACCTCTTAACACCTAAAACTATCCTGTTTTTCATTGTGTTGGTTTGCTAGTTCTGCCTTAATGAAAATACCACAAATGGGAGACTTTCAATAAGCAGCATGTATTTTGTCACAGTTCTTGAGGCTAAAAATACAGAGTAAGGTCTCGGACATGTGGATTCCCTCTGTGTGTCTTCTGTTTTCTGGTGACTGCCATCAGTCCTTGGCTTTTGGTACTCCTTGATGTTCCTTGATGAGTCTTCCCCCTATGTGGAACTTGTCATTTCACCTCTTTTTATAACATAAAAGTAATTAGATTTAGGACCCACCCTACAAAGAAAAACCCTATAAGATCACATCCACAGATATGGAGACCAGGACATCAATACATACTTGGGTCACGTTCAATCCATAACATTCAGTGGCTGTGGATTTCAACTTAGAATGTCATCTTTCTCTTTTTGGTTATTTTTTACATTTTATTGGCAGTAGTATAGTTTGATAGATGAATAATATATTCAGTATATTATTGGTATATGTGTAACACCTTCTATTACTGAAATTCCTTATCCTGAATATATTCTGCATGTTGGTTAGTAAAACTTGGTAAAATATATAAATCCTATCTTAGACAAAACTATGTTGAATGCTTTAGAAAGAAATGAAACGTAGTTAACTTGTAGGAATTAAATAAATGTGCAATTTTCCTTGCATCTCTGGTACTTAAAAGAGACTTCTAGTTTCTCCTCTTTAATTTTCCTTAGTACTTAATTTCATATATTTTCATTATTAGCAGGCCATTAATGTTAAGTGTAAAAGCAGAAGAAAGCTGATGTAGACCAGCTCAAGTTATGGTGAAAGTGTTCATTAAAAATGTGACAGGCAGGTGAGTTCTGGTGGCCAAGTGCCAAGAAGCTGCACTGCAAGCCCAGAGGTAAGTGGTTTGAAGCCACCAGATGCTCTGCTGGAGAAGGAGGGACAATCTCTTGTACCAGTCAGATCCAATTTGATGGTACACATACGCAAAATAATAATAAAAAAATGTGACAGGCAGAAAACTTATAAGAGCATCTAGATATGTTATTGTTAGGTACTACAACTAACAGTGACCCTATGAACAACAGATCTGAGTCCTGCCCTATTCTATGTAATTTTCCCATCTTTCGGATATACTTGAGTCCATTGTTACAGTCACTGTCAGTCCTTCTTGTTGAGACTCTTCCTCTCTTTCTCTTACCCTTCACCTTTTCCAGTATGATGTCTTTTTCTAAGGGTTGATCTTCCTGGAAGCATGCCCAAAGTATGAGGGAGTTTCATCATCTTTCTGGTTCACCTCCTTAGAGTATCCTGGTTATACTTCCTTTAAAACTTATTTATTCTTTTTGCAGTCCATGAGATACTTTTCTCCAACACCACAATTCAAAGGCATCATTCCTATTCTATCATCCTTAGCCATTGACCAACTTTCAGGTGTATGTTGTTGTTGTTATGTGCCATTGAGTCCCTTGCAACTCATAGTGGCTGTATGTACAACAGCCCTAAACTCTGCTCTGTCCTGTGCCAATCGCACTGTCTCTGACACTCCCATCCCTATTATCCCAGTCACTGAATCAATCCACCTCATAGAGGGCCTTCCCCTCCTGTGCTGTCCCTCCACCCTCCCAAGCATGATGTCCTTCTCCAAGGACCGGTCTCTCCTAACAACATGTCCAGAGTATGTTAGATGGAGCCTCAGAGTCCTTGCCTCCAAGGAGCCTCCCAGACTAACTCTTTCCAGGATGAATCTGTTTGTTTTCCTGTCAGTCCATGGCACCCTCAATACTCTTCTCCAGCACCACAGCTCAAAGGCATCAATTCTCCTTCTATCCTCTTTAGTCATTGTCCAACTCTCTGATGCATAACAAGTGATAGCAAAGACCATGGTCTGTATCAGATGCACCTTAGTCTCCAGAGAGACACCATTGCTCTTCAGTACTTTGGAGAGGTCCCTACCAGCAGACTTTCCCATGGCAATAAGCTTTTTAATTTCCTGGCTACTAGTGCCAAGAGTGTTGACTCTGGAGCCAAGCAAACTAAAGCTGTGAACAATCTCAATCTCTTCACCATCCATCCTGATGCTGCCAATTGGTCCAGTGGTGAGAATCTTTGTCTTCTTGACATTGAGCCTCAATCCATATTGGAGGCTGCAGTCCTTGACCCTCTGCGGCAAGTGCTTCAGGTCCTCTTCAGTTTCAGCAAGCAGGGTTGTGCCATCTGCATACCACAGATTGTTGATAGATCTTCCACCAATCTTGACTGCACATTTTTCCTCATAGAACCCAGCCTCCCGGATAATCTGTTCTGCATACAGTTTGAAAAGGTATGGAGACAGGACACATCCCTGGCATATGTCCTTCTCAATGTTGAACCATGCAGTGTTTCCTTGCTCTGTTCTGACAACTGCCTTTTGGTTCAAGTATAGGTTTTGCATTAGCATGATCAAGTGTTCTGGGATTCCCGTTCTTCTCAGAGTCAGCCACAGTTTGTTATGATCCACACAGTCAAACACCTTTGCATAATCAATGAAACATAGATATACGTTCCTCTCATATTCCCTGCTCTCAGCTAAGATCTAACACTAGATACAATCTCCCTAGTACCATGATCCCTTCTAAACCCAGCCTGGACTACTAAAGAGTTGAATGGAAGATTTCAAAAGGCAGCATGGGATGACAAAGTAAAATATTACAATGAAATGTGCAAGGAGTTGGAGTTAGAAAATCAAAAGGGCCGAGCTCACTCAGCATTTCTTAAGCTCAAGGAACTGAAGAACAAATTCCAACCTCGAGTTGCTATAATCAAGGATGCTCTAAGCAGAATATTAAATGATCCAGAAAGTATTAATAGAAGATGGAAAGAATATACTGAGTCACTGTATCGAAAGGAATTGGCAGACACAGAAAAATTTCATGAAACAATGTATGAGTAAGAGCCTATGGTGATGAAGGAAGAAGTTCAGGCTGCTTTGAAGGAAATGGCAAAAAATAAGACCCCAGGAATAGCTGGTATACCAATTGACATATTTCGGCTAACAGATGCTGCCCTGGATGTGCTCACCAAGTTGTGCTGAGAAATCTGGAGAACAACCACTTGGCCAACTGACTGGAGGAGATTCAGATGTATAGGAAGCAATTAAAAATACCAAGGCTTGAATCAGATGCACCTTAGTCTTTAAACTGACATCATTGCTCTTTAGCACTTTGGAGAGGCCCTTGACAGATGTTTTCACTAAAGCAACAAATGCATCATTTGATTTCATGACTACTGTTACCATGAGTGTTGATTGTGGATCCAAGTAAAAAAGTCATTGACAACTTCAATCGTTTTTCTATCAGGATGTTACCTATTGGTCCAGTGGTGAAGATTTTTGTTTTCTTGGTGTTGAGATGTAATCCATATTGAAGGCTGTGGTCTTTGATCTTCTTCATTAAATGTCTCTTCACTTTCTGCAAGCAAGGTTATGTCATCTGCATGATGCAGGCTGTTTATTAAAGTTCCTCCAATCCTCATGCTATATTCTTTATATAGTCCAGCTTCTTGAATGTTTTGCTCAGCAAACATATTGAATAGGTATAGAGAAAGGATAAAACCTTGACTCTCAGCTTTTCTGATTTTTAAACCACAGAGTTGTCTTGAGCTGTTCAGACAACTGCTTCTTTATTCGTTTCACATGAGCACAATTATGTGTTCTGAGATTCTCTTTCTTCTCAATGTTAGACATGATTTGTTATGATCCGCACAGTCAAATGCCTTCGAATAGTCAGTAAAGTACAAATAAACTTCTGGTATTCTGTGTTTTTGGCCATGATCCTTCTGACAATGATAAACCTTGTTCCACAGCCTCTTCTAAATCCAGCTTGAATTTCTGGCAGTTCTAGTGTTCCAACTATTTTAAAAATAATTTGCAGGGAGGTTTTACTTACATGAGCTATTAATGTTATTGCTTGATAATTTTCACATTCCACTGGATTGTTTAAATATCACATATTTCATTCATATGTTGTTAGATGCTGTCATATAGAGTACAACTCGTAGTGACCTACGAACAGCCAATCTGAACAATTTCCTGTCTTGTACCATCTTTCCAGCCTCTGAGACACTCAAGCCCACTGTCACAGTCACTGTGTCAACCACCTGATTGACAGTCATTCTCCCTTTTATTGCTCCTCACCTTCCCAAACATGATGTCCCTCTCCAAGGAATAACCTCTCATTAGCAACATAGCCATAATATGCTTCATAAAAGCTTCATCATCTTTGCCTCCTAGGAGCACTCTGGCTGCACCTTCTCCAAGACATACCTGTTTATACTTGTGGTGACGTGGATTCTTCAGCACTCTCCTCTGTCAGTCGTTTTTGGATAATCTTCAGTAAAATCTTGCTTGTATGTGAAATCAGTGAGATTGTTCTGTAGTTTCCACACTCTGTTGCGTCACCTTTCTTTGGGATGGGAACAAATATAGATATCTTCCAGTCTGTTGGCCAAGTGGTTGTTCTCCAGATTTCTTGGCACAACTTGGTGAGCACGTCCAGGGCAGCATCTGTTAACTGAAATATGTCA